AGTGGAGAACGCAGAACGCTTTCTGCTCAGGGGTCTCATCTCCTCTCAGACTGAGGGGAGCCATCTTCCACTGACAGTCAGAAACTCTATGAACCCCTCTATCAATTGGTATGTGATTGGTTCCTAGGCGGTTGTAAAAATATGGCGCTTTGAAATCGGATGTGTCTTTTTTGAATCACCCTGTATTCTGCACAGATGACAACACAATTAACATTCAGTAGTTCCCCCATTTGTTATCCAGAGCGCTATAGAAAAGCATTACTAATAGAATGGGACACTGGACCTCCAGATTCTAGTTTGTGGCTGTGGATTTTGTAATGACTGGTGGGTATGACGCTAGGTGGCCAATCAGTAACATTAACAGATCAGTGAACTATGATGCAGGATCAATGACTGGATTCAAGGTCTGATTTTGAAGACCTCCGGCCTTCACGAGGCCCATGTCAACTAGAGGGGTATAAAGCTCTTCAGCATTGAGCTGTGGATCAGCAGAACTGCGTTTTCTAGAGTGATGAAGCTCCATCCAGTAGATGAACCCTTAGTGTCTGCCCAACCAACAGGGGACTTAAGTGCAACAAGGATGAAGAAAAAGAAGAAGAATGACAACAACTAAAAAAGTGCATTTCTTGGTGGTTGCCAACGTGTTGATAACCATGTTTTTGTTTCCCAGTTGGTTGCTATGGTAACCAAAGTAGTTACTAGAGTGTTGCTAGGTGGTTGTTATGGTATCCCAGGTGGTTGCTAGTATGTTAGGTGGTGGCTATGGTTCCCCACATGGTTAATAGGGTGTTACTAATGGAATTGTATCAACATCCACAATTTTTGAACCCCATTCATTCCTATGGGAAATTCTTTTGTCATTTGACAATAATTGTACGAAAACCAAACCTCCAAACAAACACCATCGCTGAGTTGGAATGGTGTCAAAATCTCAAAAACCGCGAGTTTGCCGTCAAAAACTGGGCAGAAAAATAACAATAATAAGAAGATATTGTTGGATAACAATAGCATTGCTTTGCAATGTGCAATCACTAATTAATGCACCCATGAGAGGGTCTACATTGACACTGCATGCACTGTTTGACCATCAGTGTGTTGCTCTCAGCCAATCGAATTTGCAATTGGATTTGCGCTCTCTCACTCTGGCGGTAGCTGGTGACCGACTAAAATGGAACCGTACCCCCACAGAAAATGGAAACTCTAGAGAGGTGGGATTTCAAGGACAAGACCAATGTGACACTACTTGAGTCCGAGTCGTGTGATGAAATGTTATTTCTGTCAGCTATGGAGACGGATGGCAGAGGGGTCAGTGTGCGGCCCAGCGGAGCGTCCATTCACACACACTCGCACAAAAGTAATCATAGTGCCAGCTAGGCTTTAATAGCCCCTTGGGTGGTGGTGGTGGGGTGACAGTGCCCTCTCTCTTTCAGTCAGGTCAATAGTAATTACATCCTCTGCACGTTTTTCCGGGACAGCCGTGCGGACTGTGAGAGTAATGGGGGCACAGCTGTTCTGCCACCCCACTGTGTTGATTTTCCGAGCACTCTCCCTTTCTTTAACCTCCGCGCCTGTGGCCGTCTCGCAAGATGGGCCAACTCACAAGCATCTATGCTACGCTGTGTTTATGTAGAGTGCTGATCTGAGGCCCAAGATGACGGCAGACATGGAACAGCTGCGGTCGTTATCAGTCTGATCTAGCTTGTCATTTTAGTTACAATCAGACTTTTCTTCTGTCTGTACTGGAACAGGACCACACAGTCACATCTGAAAAAGGCTTCTAGGTAAACAACGTAGGTGGTACAGTGTGAAGGCCAGAGACCACCCTAAATTTCTTTGATTTCCAGTAAAACATAAGAAAAAAGCAGAAAACATATTTAACATAATTAAACAGAAACCTCAACAGTTATATGTAACTAGTGTTTTAGTATTTACTGTGCTTTTATTACAGCTTTCATTCTTTTTCATTCTTTCAATAGAACTGTTTTCAGTTTTTCAAAGAAATCTGCAGACACACCTCCAAAGTCCAGTCTTAGAAGTCTGTTGATCATTTTCTGAAGTAATCAAGCTCGTTCAGTGTTGTTGAGGTCTGGACTCTGACCCACAGCGCTGAGTTGTCTTCTCGCAGTGGCAGGATGGATGTGGATGTTTTCAGATCTGAATCAGCCTGATTTTCTCCTGCTGTTTCTCTGTGCTGTTTATCTGATTGTTGGCTTAGATCTCAGAAATATCTGCTGCAAAATGATTAACTTACTAGTGTTTTATTGTCTCTACCTCAGCATATGTTTTTGGGAAACACTTTATTTGGAGTGGTCATTTGTAGATTATTAATAAACTCTTAACAGAGTATCAGTAACACATCAACAACATATCAGTGAAGTAGCAGTAGTGAAGCATCTGAATACAGTAAATATCTTGACCTAATCCTAATCCTCACCCTGGCCCAAATCCTAACCCTAACCTTAACCTTAACCTGAACCCAAAACCTAATCCTGACCCTTAGCCTGGCCCAAATCCTAACCCTAACCTCAACCCAAAACCTAATTCTATCCCTCATATGTATTTGATGTTACTGAGAGTCTACTGAATGTTTGTTTCATTTAAAAGGGCCACTCAAAATAATGTGTCACCCTTTTATGCACAAAAGTAATGATGCATTCTTCTTTCTTTCTTACGTCCAGAATAAATCAGAATAATATGACTGTATGATCCAAACAGGAAGTCACTGCCAAGCTGAGAAAGTACATTGAGAGCAGCAACAGTAGAATTCTCTAGTTTCATTTTAAACAGCTGGCCAAATAATATTTAACCATAATTACATGTCTATTTTCCTTACTGTTAAAATACAAGTCTGATTTTTTGAAACATGTTAACAGTGGAACCTTCATTTCAGGTCAGATGTGTTTTTTGAGAATGTGGGACAAAAAACAAATACAAGAGATTCATTAAGGGAGGTGGCTAATAGTTTGTGGTTCCTGGGCATAAAGAGACGAGGATACACTTAAAAACTTACAAAAAAGGTGGCTCTTCAAGGGTTCTTTAGTAAAGAAAATGGTTCCATATAGAACCATGAACTCAAAGAACCCTTTGCATGAGTAAAGCGTTCTTTGCATTGTGAAATAGCTCCTCAGATTAATGGAGAATGTGCTGTAGATTGTTCTATACAGAACCTTTTTGAAAAGCGTTCTACAAAGCACCAAAAAGCGTTCTGCTATTGTTGCAATGTCAAGCTTGTAAAGCCCAACAATGGAGCTCTGATTGGTCAGTCTGATTTTTAATGTGTCTGGACAGAGCAGAAAACTGACCCACCCAGAGTGCAACACTGTCTAAGGAAAATTCTCAGTAGTTTCCGCACAGCAATGCCTGAAAATGGAATACCTTATGGTTCCCCACATGCATGTATAGTTGAATTCCAGAGCAACTTCGCCATAACAATAAAAACTTTTAATGTGTAAAGCACAACATGGACGTGGCTTTAAAACTCAGTCGCTTACTTGCACATGCTTAGCAGTCTGAAATTTCTCCACAAGGGGGAGCTACTAGCATTGCAAGTTGCATTTGTGTGATTCATTTAAAGAGAAGAAATTGCCATGAACAGCCATGAACCCACACCAGGAGCACATGAATGCACAGGTTATCATATCACAAAATGCAAGGTGAAACAGTTCATCACCATAGACTCACTCAGTATTGTATTGTTCTCACGGCGGCGCGAGGCCAGTAACGGGATGCTACAATATTATTTAGAATTAAGGTCAAGAATGATGCGGCGTATTCAATCCCTTAGCCAAACCCATCAGCAGCCGATCACTTACCCTTGACCTGTTCCCTTCAGCCTTTTCAACAGACTAATGTGATCTTTTGATCAAATGTGTACACATGGCTTGGTGACCAGCCTTCAAGTCATACAGAGATGATGATGATGGCATGGACTTTGTGCTGAATGACGCGTAACGTGGCTGAGGTTTGGAATGCTGTGGACGTTGTGCACTTCCTGTAATCTAAGACAGGCTAGAACGGCACCAGCACCTAAATAAGACACACAAGCCATCGTAAAGTGATATGTGCAGCTCAAAGCACTCAGAATTAAATATACATATATATATATAAACATAAACAATGCTCTCTGTTAATGAACCAAGAAATCAAACACGTAAGCATGAAAACACTTACAGCACACTTCAATCTCTAATACAAGCGCTGAATTACAGTGCTGTGGACTTGAATAGCATGAGAATTGACCCCAGCATGTTTGGGCAAAATGTTAATGTTAATACAAATAAATGGTTCTGTTATTAAATATCAAATGTCTTATGTAGATCCAGTACAGCTGCAGCACTGAACCTGAGTTCAGGAATACTGTGTATTGCAACTGAGGAAAACAGGTCTATATTTAGGTGGCATGGGTGAATGTGTTTAACTTTAGCCTAGAGTCACCCCATTCATCACCACAGAACTCTGCAAGAGAGGCAAATCTGGGCTTAGCTCGAGGCCCCAATATTAATATGAATTATGAGGTCTACCAAGTCATAAGCCCACACTGCGTCGTTTAAGGGGTCGACTGAAAAAAAGTGAAACCGAAGCTGTGTTGCTCACCCCCGGACGTTTGATGTTTAGAAAACATAGACTGGTTTACTGTTAAGTCATTTACACTACGCATTTACCTTCAGTGTAGGTGGTGCAGTTAAAATCTTTTATTAACTCCACACAGTTAGCTGAAGAGGAAGGCTAGAGATCGCTTTGATTCAAACAGTCCATGCACAGATGCCTTCTTCTCCTTCCCTTGGCCTTCGCCAGAGGATGTATGCATTGGCTGCTCTCCAACGGAAGGAAAAATCTATATGGGAGGTGCTCACATGTACACACACACACACACACACACACACACACACACCTAAGGAAAGAAACAGATAAAAATCCCATTTTTAATGCTGTGGAATTCAAATCCTTCAGCACTTTCTGTTGCGTATAATCCAGAATGAAAAACACCATCAACTACAGAGCAGGTAAATATAGATATACTTTAATATTTTGAAGTTCTTACCCAGTTGTAAATACAACTTTCAGACTGGAAGGCACAGTAAGACCAGACTACTGAGTAGCCTCAAATGAAAGCGACAAAAGACCGAACCATGTCGAAAAAATAAACGAAGAACGAAGGTGTTCCACTAAAAACACAACCTGACGGGGGAAAAGAAGTCTCAAAAAACAACGCACAAGAGCACGAATGACGAAACAGATTGAACTGCCTAGCTATGAATCCAAAAATTGCTGCCCACAAAATTAACGTTTCACATGTTTCTAGGGCAAAAATAAAAACAGAGTCACGATGCATCTGAAGTTTCTGAGGGAGACAGTAATGAAAGGATTGACAGTCGTTGACATGTAGTGCAATTTGTTTCTGTAAACGCGATGCTTGTTTTGGTAGTGCAAGTGCGACTTGACAAATTAAACTAGGAGAGCCCACACATGAACATTTCAACTGTATTGGTCCAAAACAAAAGGGGCTAAAACACTAGTATGCTGAGAACATAATGTGAAAAGCAGTCTGGAAAAAGGGCTGTGCTTAGCTTTTGACCGATCTTGGCCAGAATTACAAAAAAGAAAGAGAAAGAAAACTGAATCATGAAGATAGTACACTGTGGAAAACTAGAACTTGGGCAGTGAAATCATCTTAAACCTACTCAGTATGTCTATGCCTCTCATTTAGAGACTGCTAAGAGAGTTTTATAAGATTATTCACCTTATTTATAGTTGTTGTTACTTGTTTTAGGTCTATCTAGAGAAATTGTCTTGTTCTATTGGCGGACAATTTGGCTTGTTTTGAGAAATAATACCTTAAGCAAACAAAGTACAACATGCAATAAGGCAATTTGATATGAAAAGACTATAGACAAAACGGGCCCATTTATGTCACAAAACCAACTTTACATATATCCACCTATCCAGCCTATAGCCTATCAGAACAGAGCTTATTTACATATTTCAGTCCTATGGGCACAGTAACAAAAACAGCCTGTTTAATTATAAGGGATAAAGCAAGGCTGGAATTTGGTCATATAAAATTAATTAGGCGGGAAAATTAAATACAACTAAAACATGGAAAAATGTATAGAAAACAGTTATAATAGTCTTATAATAGTCTTTGAACAATCTCAAAATGAGAAAACCACATATATCGACTAGATTTAAGTTGATTTCACTTGCCGTCATTTTTTTTGCAGTGTATTCTTTGGTATCCGTTCTTGCATACTTTGCAATTTTGCCCTAATGTGTTCTCCTATGCACATTTTCATATTTTATATTCCTATGCACACAAGGCCCGTTATCCAAATACTACTGATCATTTCATTTAAGGAGAAATCTGCTGTTACAGTATTAGCAAAGTGACAAAACATCCTACTGAAGGTCCTTTCAATACTCAACAAGGGTTTTTTTTCCTACAAAGGGATAAGAAATCTCACAATAACAAAACACAATAACAAAAAAACAACAAAAACAAAACTAAAAATGTGTAACTTGAACATAGCTGCTGCTTTTGGGTCATTTTGCTGCACGAGGCTCGATAAATTAAACATAAACCTCATTAGAGGATCCTGATCAGAGCCCAGACGGGCTGACTGAAGCCCACTCGCATCATGCCCATTACTGCTAACAAGGCTTCTGCATTAGCATCGGCTCAGCAGCATCACAGACACACATACACGCACTCGCACATACAGCTTCCCTGCTTATAGTCTGTGAATCCTCACCCGGCCCTCTCATCCAAGTCCATGTGCAAACTCCTTTAATTAGCCTCAGACAAGGCCTCTTTCAAAGCTAGAAACGTGTCCGATAGGCAGAAACGCCATTTCGTTTTGGGTGTAAAAGAAAAACAGAACAAAAACAAGTATAAAGAATACCTCTAACAGAATATTCCAGTGCCTGCTGCTGCTTTACTAGGCCCAGTTTGTATCAGAAAGAGAGGGGAAGTCCAGCACCCCCCCTCTTCAGCGTGTACTACCTTTTAGCATTCGCTTGCTCTGTTAGCTGCGTGAGGTACTCTCGCAGTTCCTTAGCTGCCTGGAAGCGGCCGAAGCGCTTCTGAGGCTTGGTGCACTCGTCCAGCAGCGACGCGAGGTGCCCGTCCCGGGCCACGTCGGCAGGGGGGTCATGCAGGAGGCCCCCCGTAGTGCCGCGCCACGTAGCGACGCGGGAAAGCAGGTTCTGGCAGATGGCGTAGTAGTTGTGGTCCACGGTGACCCGCGAACACAGTATGTCCTTGGAGAAAGACAGACAGGCCTCTTTGTCGCACTCTTCGGAGCGGCTCTCGTACCACACGTCATAGTTCTCCGGCTTATCTGGGGAGAGAGGGAGCAAGAAAGAAGGTCACAGGCTGTGAGTGCAGTTAATGACTCGCACGACAAACGAGGCTCAATAAATCTTTGTTGTTAGCTGCGGTCATTTTTCACCTTAATTGAATACAGTGCTAGCTATGCTTTCATCATCTGATGCTTTCAGGAAAAGAATCACAGCGCAGAATAAAGCAAAGGACGTCAGTGTTAAAGTCAGAGACCCTTATTTCCAGACAAAATTTATGCATATATATGACACATATAGACATGAGATAATCCACTTGCATAATGCAAGACATGGAAAAAAGGAACAGATAAAATAGACTCTTAATAACCACACAAGACCTGGTAGATCACCAAACAGATAAACAGCACTTAAAGCTTCCATCAAGCTCCTCTCTTGCTTCAGGTCTGGAAAAAACCAACACTGAGTCTGAAAGGGTGTGTAGCTGTCAGTAAGCCCTCACTGAGAAAAGAAAACAGATTAATCAACAAAGAAGCTGCTGGTGTTCTCAGAACAATGGACTGACCAGGCCAGAGTCCAGACCTCAACATCACTGAAAGTGTTTGGGATTATTTGGATCATGAGAAGCAGAAAATGTAAGACTGAACTTCGGAGGTGTGGAAAAACAAACCAAGTCTGCTGAAAAGAAGGAAGGCTGTAATATAGTGAAAGGGTGGACACACTAAATCTAATATATATATAAAATGGTAGCTTCACAGGAGAAGAATAAAAAACATACTTTTAAATTTTAAATTTATTTTTTAAATAAAAAATAAAAAAAACTTTTACTTTAATGTAAGTCAATGGAACCAGAGTTTTTCCAAGTCATTTTGGGTCAATTCTTCTGTTCCATTTATCATGAAATTTGCACACAATGTAAAGGCCAACAGGAAACAACAGGAGCCATAACATAAAGGACAACAGGCATTTTCAAATTATGCAAAAAACTGAAAAACGACAAAAATGGATATCAGAATTGCAGCTTTGCGTAAATTGTAGTGGAGTAGCCAAGACCTGTTCGGTGTCTGAAGTTAGCTTTTCTAATTTTGCTCTGGAGCAACAAAGCTAATGTTGCGGACAAGTAACAGAAAGTTAAAGTACAAAAGTTTAGGATTCAAAATGGATATTTTTGGCCATTTTTTGTAGATAACAGTGTGGCATATAGTGCAAAAACCACATAATTTGAGATTTATGGTTACTTAACAATGCAATGAGGTTTGAGGGAAGCGTGTGATGATTAGTGGGGCACAAGCCATCATTACATTAGCCTCGTTGCTCCAGTGCAAAACTAAAGAAGTGAACTTCAGACCCCAGACATGTCTTGGTTTATAAATCGCGTTTGTGGTGAGGGATAAACTGAGTACCAAACTTCTGCTTTAAGTGTGCTTTAGTAAGGTACGCCCAGCCTATCTGAAGTTATGAATGGCTCTGCGACATCTCGGACACTTTAGTAACCGGGGCAGGAAGCTGGAATAGAGCGGACAACTCAGCAAAGTGCAACGACAATTCATCAGCAGAACTATATTCAGTCATACAGAGGCACTAAGAAGGGCAGATCCGCTTTCCTGGTCATTTGACACAACTCGATCGTGCGCCAATAACTAATTAGAGAAAATGAAGTCACTGCACTGCCAATCACCCTCCGGGGAGCCAATTATGAGCAGAACTGGAGGAGGCAACTCCGCGCAGCCATTCAGAATGACAAGAACACACACACACACACACACACACACACACAGGTTCACCTCTGTACTGCTCCACTCTGCAGTTTGCAGAAATCAAGAGGTAAAGTCTGATGGAGGAAACGTCACGTAACTTCATGTAGGACAAACTGTGCAGCCCTGCTGAAGGTCAAGTGGAACTGCAGCTCAGGAAAACTTAGCTGTGCTCGTAAACTGAGGTATATCAAAGAAATTGCACTGGACGGCCAACATCTCCTTCACTCCAGGTCATTATGGCCAATGTAAGAGAGGGTGAAAAGGCAAAAATGTAGACAGACAATACGTGTCACTATATTTCACATTTCTGAGGTTTGATTATATGAACAGCCATTCCAGCCTAAAACTAGAGTGTAATGTTATTTGTCATGTTGTGCAGTATTCTGTAGGGAAGCACTGAACTCCTCAGCCTCACCAGGTTAAAAGAAGTCTTGATTTTAGATCATTTTCATATTTTCATTCATAAATATTCTCTCACTACAGTACCCAGATTTACATAAATACATCATACAACCACCGATAATCCCTGTGGTGTCAACCAATCCTGACTAATAAATACGACCAAGTAGGGCTGGGCAATATGATCGCATTTATTGTGAATTATTATGATATCTATTGTGAAATGACATCACAATATGTTTTCTAAGCATATCCTGGATATCGTCTGTACCTAAACACCTCCGAATTGCATGTTGGATTAAAAAGAGAGCAGCTAGTCCTGTTTAAGTGGACTTTACGCAGCATAGAGTGTGAAATTTTGAATACAAATCATAGATTTTTTGCCGCGTGACTTTATCTGTTCCGACTTATCAGGTGTCAGAAAAAGAAATATTGTGACATATCACATATTGTGAAAACTTGTTGAAGTATTGTGATATTACATTTTTGCCACATTGCCCACTTCTACCTCAGTCATCAAACAAAACTGTAAAGAAAACAGCCATTTTATCTTTATTCAGAACAGAGGCACGTTTTTACCCTTTCGGACAGAGAAATCAAACTGAGGTAAAGTATCTAGAGAGCAAGTACCAAGCTAACTTTAGCTTATAGCTTGTTGACCTGTTTATCTGAGCAGTCATTTCTGGCGTTTGAGTTATCCATCCTGTCCACTGTAGTGATGATTTGGAATCAGTAACTATAGTTACATGAATACAATGAGATATTCAATTTCCTGGTGGTGGGTTGGTCGGTTAGTCAGTTAGTGAGTTAGTTATCTGCCCCTCTAAATAAATAAATAAATAAATAAATAAATACATACATACATACATACATACATACATACATACATAAACAAACTCAACCAAACCAACAAACCCACCCCCAAAAATCCACCTCATTGTAGTTGTAGTTCTTCAAAAGATCCTTCTACCTTCAGCATACATAACCAGAAGGGGAGTTTCCTAGTCTTTAAACCACACAATCTCACTCTAGAGACCACTACAGCACCACTCTAGGACACCATATAACAACAGATAGTTAAATGAACTCTGGTTAGAGCATTCCTATAAAAAAAAAAATAAAAAAAGAAAAAACCTTGAGTACCATGATTTTTGTTCAGCGTTTCACCCTTAAAAGGAATAAATAGGCTTTAATTATTCTTATTAATTAATCTTTTTAATAAAACAAGCACTGACGATATCCACAATATGTTAAGAATCACAATAACGATAAATGTAGTCGTTATCTTGCTCACTCTTAGGCCACTGGTAAACCAACTCTGAACTTACAGCTTTCTCATTCACTCATTTCTGATGATACGATTCTCTAAGTTGGTTTCAACTGCAAACGCTACAGACTTGATGAAGACTGGCACATGTTTTTGGTCTGGAATAAGATTCACATTACAGTCAGCACATGAGTCACAGAAGCGTTTATTTGGCAGTGAATCTATCCATCATAAGCTTCCTTAATTAGGTCAGAGAAAAGTTAATTAGGTCACAGAAAAGATGAACAGCTTGTAAAGCACCATATAGCTCAAGATCAACTCACTGGCCTTCACAAAGACAATGACTGATAAATATTTAAAACAAAAGTGTTTTCTTGGCTGCCCAAGACTTTGACACAGCACTGTGTACGACAGGAAACAGGAACAGGCCTATTCGTGCAGTGCTGCAAAGTCCAAACTGCTGTCCAAAATCTGGAGGCTGGTGTGTTGGCAGGTGCCATAGAGTAATGGAGCGAGAGAGTGTGCGCCCTTCCGAGAATCCCAACTGGGCTGGCAGATGGAGTGTGTGTGTGTTTGAGAGCTAGTATTAATGTCTTGTGCAATAACTACTTGATTGGAGAAAAGTCACACCAAGGCTGTATTCCTCTAGACCTGGTTTAAGTGGCAATAAGACCTTCAGACAATATTGATATTTAGGTTGGCAGCATACAAACGTTTGAACGTCCCCAGTCAAACTACCTTTATTTATTTATTTATTTTTTTTAATTTTGTAAGTTAACCCATCCTTTACAGCCCATATGTCAAACTCAGGGCCTGCGGGCCAAGTCAGGCCCGTGGCACCACCCTATTCAGCCCACAGAATTATTTTAATTTTCTATTATTATCAGCCCCTACAGTCCCCAGCATGCACTGCAACAAGATGTGTGCTCTAACCATCTTTCTCCAACAACAATCTATGGGCCAGCAGTTACACAAAAAGAAAAGATGGTGTCTGGTGTCTAGTTTAAGCAAATAGTCAGTTAAAAAACCTACCTTCTGAGGGCATTTAAAGAGGTATAACAGTTATATGCAGCTAATGTAGCCTATTGTTTTATATAAGACAAGTATTCAGTGCCTATTTTGCTGGGGCACTTTTGGCATTTCTTGAATAAACAATGGCCAGTTTGGGGTCATGGCAAAAAAGGTTAAGTAAAAATTAAAGAAAATGCAGCTAGGCCACGGATTTGTTCAGCTTTTTAATATGGCCCTTTTAATAGCTGAGTTGGGCACCTCTGCTTTAAGTATAACATTGGAAAAAATAAAACAGAAAATATAAAATGTGCCACAACTTTTGTACTGGACACATTTTGTTATTCCCCCCAATATGTGAAATTCAGCAAACAAACAGTAATTGTGCATTAAGATGCGAGTTCTCTGTAGAGGGTGTGTAAACTTATTTTCACTTAGAAAGTCAAGGCACTCCTCTAATATTTCCCGGCACATCGCTCCATTCACATTTCCGTCATTGACATCTAACATTTCCGTACCTTCTGCAGAGCAGCATGACGCTCCCACCTTCCTACTTCACTGTGGGTGAACGCTGGTGTTCTTGGGATCATACACGTAACCATTCTGTCTCCAAACACGAGCTGAGTTATTGACAAACAGTTCTATGTTTGGGTCGTTTGACGAGGGTTCATTGTTCCAGAAGAGTTCTGATTTGTCCAAATGCTCATGTGCAAATTGTTTGTGTGGTGTGTGTGTGACTGCCAGCTTCTCTCCTACCTTCCTTATCTATATTCTGAGAGAAATCTTGCATGGCTCACCTGTTCATGAACTTCCATGAACTGTCCAATTGCATATTTTCAAATCTTTTGTATTAAGAGGAATGTTTAAGGCCTTTGCTATGGCTCTAGCTTTTTTTCATTCAAGTGTTCAAGCTCCGTCAGCTTCACCATGATTGCCACTCATTGAATGAAAACTCCCCAACCAATGGCAGCATCTTTTATAATGAAACCAGGTGCAATTTGCGTTAGAACATTTATATATTTTTTAAGACTTAATATGCGGTATTTGGATATATTCAGTGGAATTATGTTTAATAACAAAAACAGAAGAGGCTGAATACATGTTCCCTTCACAAAGTCCAGTTTTAATAAATATATTATTTGACTTCTGTCATTTAGCAGTTTTCTCAAGAGTATTTGGCCAAAAATGCACATCTACAAGACAAAAAGTGGTTCCTAGACCACAATATCAGTCCTGACAGTTACGTCATTATCATTTGCAGCTGAAGGGAATTTATTACCTCAGAATTTATTTTTTGATTATTTTTATTTGACATTATTTGCAGGGACATCAAAATCAGGTTCTGATAAGAACCACCACAGGACGTCTGACGTCCAAAAGAAGCAGACACCCAGCCATTTCGGCACAAAGCAGGAAGCACGTTCACAGATAAGTGTTTTAACTCAGGAGATGTTCTGAAGAAGCTCAAAATAGCACCGACGAGACTTTAATTGAGAGTTTCAGAAAGTGGGATGTCCACAGGGGGTTTCAGCCTGCAATTTTATAGCTTGAAATGTCTGCAGTACATTCACAGTGATCTGTGACAGTACTACAGGGCCAAAGCAAAAGAAAGATAAAGATGCACCTGCTGAGCTTGAGGGGGAAAAAAGAAACTAAAAATGGGTCAGAATGTTCAGAGCTCCCCAAGAAATATCCCTGACTGTGGTGTCTTGGATTTTGGAAGAGATGGCAAAAGAATAGCCTTCTTCTGACCCCAAACACAGCAGGACACCCAAGACACTTTTGTGCCTGAAGTTTGCTTATTCAATTTTGCACTAATGAACTCTTATCATTTTGGAAGCTTATCATCGACCAATTAGCACTGTGCAAACTGCATCCCTACGTCATCACACGCTGACCTCAAACCACACAACATTAAGGCTACGTTCACATTTCAAGCCTCATTGCTCAAATCCGATCTCTCTGACATGATGGTTCACACTCGTTTAGGTAAGTGATTCAAATCTATCATTAATGTGACGAACCGGCGTCCTGAAATGAGCCGCATGCACCGATCCTACTCAGTAACGTCACGTGAATGAATCACGAGCATCATCAGCACAAACTAACGAGCAGAACGAGCTTCGCTGAGAAGATAATTAACTCTGATCAGCTCTCAGCTTCATTATTAGAGCGAGACGAAGGAGAAAAAGGTGAGATGGGCTGCTTTTCCACCGTTTACAGGCTTTAACTTCTGTTCGGCGCTGCTGCCATGGTAACGCTGAATGATGGCGCACGTGCAGTGGAAAAAAAAGTACATGAATTCAGATCTGAGCGTCACATTAAGGTCGCAAGGCCACGAATCGGATACGTATCTGATCTAGGACCACATATGAAAGTGGCTCAGGTCAGATTTGAAAAGATCAGATTTGTGTCCACACAGCCCTGAAAACATCAGATCTGAGTCACATTAGGGCGAAAAATCGGATTTGTGCCACTTCAGCCTGGTAATGTGAAGTAATCTCAAATAGGGTTGCTGCAATACCAGAATTTTGACTTAGATATAGTATCACAGTGCTCGAAACTATGACAAAACATAAAAACAGATTAGTGCACAATGCTAACGGTATTGAAAACAAACGTATTGAAGTCGTTACAGCTTAACAGAGTGAAGAATTCAACATTAAAAGTATTTTTGCCTATTTTAAGAGCCCATATTCTACATTTATTCTGGTAATTAATTTATAAGGTTTGTGTAGGTTTATTTACTAAACACAGTATTTCACTTGTACATGACCATTTTCTATTTTCCAACTTATCTTTATTCCTTAGAATCAACCCCTTTTCAGAATAGAAAAAAAGCAATTTCACCCAGTTTTGGAGGTCCCTCAGTTCAGCCTTAAATTCTAAAACTAATTTTAATATTTTAATACAAATATCCGATGAGTTTATTTCCACTCCATTCCGTATTTGGTGTGAGTAGGCGTGGCTAAATTGTTGTCTGAATAGACAGATTTATGTAAATGTGTTGCATTTGTGACATTACAAAACTGTTCTTCCATCTTAATTTCCAAACACAGGGAATGGATAGTGAAACTTCAACAGTGTTTACATAATACATCAAATTTTTATCTCAAAAAAGAGAGAAACATCTGCTTTTTTGTCATGTGGGCGCTTTAAATAAAGAACTGACTGTACTAGAGTACTGAACCGTTTACTATGTTACTGAAAAAGCATTAAACTTTCAATACTTCATACAACACTAATCTCAAAGAGACTTGCTTATGTAGCGTCTGAAGCTGTATGAGACATCTTCAGAGTTATCTTTAAAAATGATCAAATTGGTGGGGAATACGCCTCCAAAACTTGTTAGTTAGTAAGTTGTAAATACTGTAAATCGCTGCTGTCGGAACAAAACCTCATATCTCCAAAATGGTAACTTTACAGGAGAAGCAAAAAACCTACTTTACTTGTAATGTAAATCAATGGAACCAGACATTTTTCTAAGTCATTTTTGGCCATTACTTTTAGTCCATTCATCATACAATTTACATACAATATAAAGGACTAAAGGAATTTTCAAATTATGTTAAAAACTGAACAACGACAAAAATGGAGATACAAGGTTTTGTTCCACAGCAGCGATATGTTCTCACCTGCTGACTTAACTACCGAATTAAAACTCTGCTTCCATAAGAAAGCCAAGACGTTTGTGAGATGGCGTTGAAACTACGAAAAAAATGTATAAAATATGTATAAAAACTATGTAAATGTCGATTCTAGCAATCACTACCTTCAATAACCACAGTCATCATCCACTTACTTTGCTTTATGAGCCTCTTGTCTGCCACGATGACATTCTCCGCATCCACGACAATCACTTTTCCGTCCCGGGGTCCGACGGCGAAGTTGTCGAAGCTGACGTCCAGCAGGTAGAGGGCGAAGTCGAAGTCGTTGTTGGTGAGCTGCTCGGCGATGTCCATCAGCTGCTTGGCCAGGTCCACTCGCTTCTCCCACGGCGCGTTGTAGAAGCTCCACAGCTCCTCACCTACGTAGTTCACAGCCACCATGCGCCCGCACGCCCCCAGGTACTTGGCAAACGGCCAGCCCTCATCTGAGGGGAAGCTCTGTCGAGACACGTCAAGAAGAGAGAGAGAAGCAAGGTGAGGTTTTTTTGGTTTCCCCACACTTTCACTCACACTATGCTCGTGTACCTCCCGTACTGCGGAAAGCAGAAAGTTTAGGATGATGAATTTGGGCAGTAAATGTGTTTTGCAAATAAAAATGTTTAAAAAAGTGCCTTGTTTTCAGTGAAGTTTTTGCTGTGTTGTGAGCTGGTCATAAGAACAGGTTTGTGCAGTTCAGCCACTGCATGGACTTGTTGAATGAAGGACTGATTAGATAAACAAGGTGCTGAATGCCAACGGTAAATACTGGACTTCCTCAAGGAGAGATTTGGAAGTGGTTAAGCCAACACAATCCCACGTATCAAATTACACTGTATTGTTCACTTCTTTATTTGTATTTTTCTATTATTAGTGGGTTTTTAGCATATTGCTGCTGTCGGGACAAAACCTCGTATCTCCATTTTTGGAGTTTTTCAGTTTTTGGCATAATCTGAAAATGCCTGTGGCCCTTTACATTAAGTATAAATGTAATGATGAATGGAAAATGGGCAAAAATTACTTGGAAAAAAGTCTGGTTCCATTGACTTACATTGAAAGTAAAGTATGTTTTTTCCTTCTCCTGTAAATATACCATTTTGGAGATGCACGGTTTTGTTCCGACAACAGTGATATATTTTTTGCTTTTACTAAAGCCAAGCGGGTATAAAGCCCCTCAGCTTTGGGCTGTGGAGCAGCGGAACTGCATTATCTGGAGTGAAGAAAAATTGGACGAGTAGGTCTCTACCAACTTTTGTACATACAGTATAAATAGCTTTACATATCGCTTATTTCTGACATATTTGATATGTTATTTGATCATAATTATTAGGACTGAGACAAATAATTAATACTTCATTCATCACTTGTTATGCTGGCATTCGCTTCTCTATTTAGTATTCAGAAGCTTCATCTTTTTTAAGCCACATGAACTGCAGCCTAAAATAAACTTCATCATTGAAGGCCTTTAGATAGAACACACTATTAATATACAGGAAAACACTGTAAAATAAATAAATTACAGCTGGTTTTGCTGAATGACAGTCTTGTCTCTGAGAGCTTAAAAAAATAAATAAATAAAAGAGAGAAAAAAAACAAAACAGCTCAAAGCAAAACTTGGAATAAGAGGTTGGTTTCTCTCAAATAAGTAAGTGTAGTGATCTTTATCCAGATCCCACAATGTGTTCAATCTACGCTTCATGCAAGATAAAACTTGTTAGCACAAAGAGCAGATCTCCATATTTTAGACTGCTATATAGAAAGCGTGACTTGACTGGATCTTTACAGAGTATATGTTTAATTATATGCAAGTGGGGGAAAAAAGCTCATGTTTTTACGGATGTAAAATGCATGTCTGCAACAGCCGGGGTCAACTGAAGAACTAAAATAGCAGCATATCTGTTCTGTCACATGGCCAACTATTGTTTTGAGAGGTGAATGTATTCAGGTATTTGTCTGGAAATATTAAGAAGTGTCTGAAGCCTGTAAAACGCTGTTTGAGTAAGCTGTAATAATTATGAAGTTACGCTACATTATAAATTACATTTACATTCTTTACTGACAGGTCAAAGTGAGCATTTCTGACTTTTCAGCTCGAGATGACAAAAACACGACATAATAGAAAGGAAAATCTTTCTCTCTGCATTAAATTCAAATCATAAAATATCTCCTGTTCTACTTACAATCTAAAAAGTAGTAGGAACTGCACTTTGCACCGAATTTCTTCTCTGGTTTCAAATGAATACAAGTGAGAAATAATTAATGTAAAATAACAACGTGCTGCTATTGCCTGCGATTAAAGGCTCACAATGTCTGCAACGCCTAGCAGGGGTTTCCACAAAGCCTGAGAAATAATTCAATTAAACACTAAGTGTTTATCAGACAAACCTTTAAAGCCTAAAGCTTTGCTTTGTGAATCTGTGTGGAAGGAACTACAACAGGGTTCCCAAGACCTGGGCTTTGTGAAAGGAATGTGTACACAGTCTGTTTGCTCCCCGTTTTAAGCCGGAGACACAATGGGGTAAAGTTAACCGTGCAGTCGCCAAAGCAGCCATAAACTTTGCTTAAGTGCTCTGGATATCACATTTCCGCCATTTCGAGACGGGTTATTAAAAATGGATGCGTGGCTATTAAACTTTAATCTGGGTGGCTCAACGCGCAAAATACACAATAGTGCAAGGCGGTGCCCTCGCTGATCAACTGCAGTGTCTGCGGTGGCTGCCTGACTCTGCTGTCCTGAACAGATGCTGGGTTGAATCGTCATGTTGTGAGGAGCTTCCTGCTGGCTGGGGCTGACGTTCCACATCAAATACTCACAGGAACCCTAACGAAGGTTCTCTGCCTGCAAACACAGTCCCTTCCCTCCACAAACATACTGTGAACTGACCATTTCTGACTGTTTTGTCCATTTCAATGCGATACGCCTTGTAATACATTGAAAAATAGTATTCAATCAATAATGTGACTTCGTTAAAAATTGGCCTGCATTATTTTGACCAAAAAAATGACCTTTTTTTGGAATACAAAACATCTTAACTATTCAAAAACACCCACAGAAACCCTCGTCTGGAGCTGTAATTGGTGAGGAAGCTCTGCTACTCCAGCTGTTAGCATACACGCTAATAGCGGTAGCATTATAGCTTCAGTGGTGGCCCAAGGTAACTCTACCAATTTTTACCAAAGTGGTAACAAACAAATGTTTACAGTTACTCAGAGTCATGCAGGTGAAGCAAAATGTACATTTTCTCAAAGAAATTGTTCTTAGATGCTAGCATGTATGCTAATAGCATTAGCGCTATAGCTTCCAGGTCAGCTAACGTTACGTTGGCAAATAAATGAGGTGATAATCTTAAAAATTAACAAGCAAGATCCAACTGAACTCGCAAAGCTCAAGCTCAAAGTACTTACACTGTGCTATTTCACTAATATACACTGTTATATTGTCTACCTCTATATTACAGCATTCTGTGATATCAGTATTGCAAATATCAATATTGTAATAACAATTAACAATCAATATATTCTGCAGTCCTACTCACCAAAAAAGGGTTCCAAAAAAGGTTCTTTGGATGCCATAGGACACTTTTGATTCCCTAAAAGAAAACTTTCAAAGGGTGGTTCTTGAACCCCTTAAAAACCCAGCTTATTACATACTACAGCTTATTATTTAGTAACTACAGGGACTTCAGTGCAAACCAGCTGAGCTATTCTTACATTATAGAAGTGTGTAATAAAAATTTGAGCTCGCTGGTGGGCCCTGGCCATTTAAGGAGCTAATTGGCCATTCACCTGTGGTCACTGCATAACATTTATGTCAAGTGACAGGTTTTTGTTGATGTTTGGTTGCGTCATAACACTTTGTGTTAAAAAGTTGAATTTTTAGTGCCATTGTGTCCATTTAATGGTTCGTCTCCTGTTTCTAACAGCATCATTTCACATACCGGATATTTTAAAGAACCATTTTTGTAAGTAAGATGTTTGAGTGTCAAGAACCTTTTAGAAGCTTAAAGAACCGCCATATAATGTAAAGGTTCTACAGCAATTAAAGGCTGTTCCAAGAACCAATTAAACAACCTTTATTTTAAAGACTGTACTTCAGTGTTTTGTTATTTTCGAAAGAAAAGCAGTTCTTATTTGACCTGATTTGCACAAGTGCAAGTGAGTGGCCAGGGATCTTGGCCTGGTTTCAAGATGAAATCTCTTTCTTTCTTTTAAATGCTCTTTTCAGCTTAAAAGAAGACAGAGGGGAACGTGGATGAGAACGTTTGAAATTCTGGACGGGACAGATTATTCAAAGGTGACTCAAATGCTTCAAATAGTCCTTTGACATCGTCTCTTTTTATCCACCCAAAACGAACAAGGACGAGTGCAACAGTCAGAGTGCAAAACAACGCAGAGCATGAAAGTCGTTCCGAGTTCTTGCAGCCGAGAATGTCAACGACACATTATGCTTGTAAAACTCATCCTTTTAAAGGGCCGCACAGAGTTTGTTCCAGTTCAGAGGCTTGCAAAACCAGCCCTGCACAGAGCGTGCACTCAATAGATGCAGCAGTACTTGGAAATAAAAAAAAAAGTGCGAAATGGCGTCTGAGGTCCACCCCCATTATTCATCTCAGCTTGATACTAAAGCGCAACCCTTTTTAGAGAAGTCAGCTTCTTTGCAAGAAATCTGAGAGAAAAAAAACTTCACAAAGGAAAATAGGACTGTAGATTTATGATATTGCACATATTTCTGCATAACTCAGTTGTTGAGACGTAAACAAAGTCATTCAGAGTGGTTTGATGTTAAATGGTTCATTGTAGAGGAACGTATCAGTTTCTTACAGTGGTGGTGATAGGAACCAGGGGTCACCATGTTTGCAACACAAATATAGCCATTTAATTTACTATCCAAAACCATCAGTGAACCTATGTGTCTTCTGAGATTTTATATGTAATGTTGATGGTGGTAAATTAGTGGTAAATCTGAGAAAAAACAAGTCCCAGTGGACTATTTTGCCATAAGTCTCTGCCAAGAATGGGTTTACAAAAATAAGTTTTAGGCCAAATATTTACCTCAAAACTATCACAAACCAATGCCCCAGTAAACTCTTCAGACGTCTAAACATCTAAACAATGCAGAAATGTTTAAAAAAAACTGGTGGAATTTCCTCTTTAAAATGTACGAACAGGGTAAAATAAAAGGAGAGGTGAACTGGAGAGATGGAAATGTCAGAAGTGTCATTACTTCCACAGCAGTGGCCATCAGCATGTCGCTGCTGTCATCTCCATTTTTGACGTTTCACATCATTTAAAAATACCTGTTGCCTTTTATATAGTGTGTAAATTTCATGAAGAATGGACCAAAACAAACGAACCAAAATGACTTGGAAAAAAGTCTGGTTCCATTGACTTATATTAAAACTAAAGCAGGTTTTTTCCTTCTCCTGTAAAGTTACCATTTTGGCGATACAAGGTTTTCTTCT